GCAGCCACATTGAAGAAATACTTAACAAAAAAGATGGGCATAAAATGGGGTTTTATGTAAGGCAAAATCTTACATGAATGCTCCACTGCCTCAGGTGAAAGAAATGTTGACATCAAATGTAAAAATCATCATGTTGTAAAAAAGAGAGCTTGTTATTTGGGATTAAGTTTATTTTGATAACACAAAGCTTATTGTAATGATAACAAGGGAATTTATTATCGTTTAACCAGAGTCGTTTATTACTGAAGAATTTAGTAATAAATTGCACACAGATATCTAATGAATTAAAAAGAGATCACCATGAAGCAAGTAATAGAAAGTATTAACGCTTTCGGTCATGCAAAATAAAAACGGTGGATTCCTAGATTTTGCAGGAGGCCTGTAAGTGATGCAGTGGGGAAAAGAGGAGCTGGAGAAGCAGGTGGAGGAAAGAGATTTAGCTATTCACCAAGGTTATGATGAAATTAGGAAATAAGGAAATATCAAAATCAGGAGCCCTCGGGTCCAGTCAGAGAATTTTTAATGCTACACTTGGTGTCCGTTCCTCTGCCTTTTCTGACCTTTCTTCGTGGAGAAAGAAAGAAGCAGAATGATGAGGATGAACAAGACCCCACTCACCCAAAATATTGGAATGTAGATTCAACCCCTCCTACTTTACTGCACTTGCAGAACATTTCTTCCTACCGTGATCAGGTGAGGAAGACAAGGCAATCGAACAGAAAACTACAGCACAAAGAATTTAAGGGACCAAATGACTATTAAGTGGCAGAGTTAAGATTCAAAACCGGGTCTTTGGACTCCTAATATAGTGTTCTTTGCTACCACACTACACTGCATCTCTTTTTCAGGATTTATTTTTAAATGCTAAAAACGCAGTGATTGTTCCTCCTTTGTGAATCATAGAACTTGGTAAAGCTCAGCCTGGCGTGGTTAGAATAGAATGCTCAAGTGGGCGTTAGTCATATTTTGGCTTCATAGCTAACCTGTTGTTGGATACTGAAATTGCGACATCCTTTAATCTCTCTTTGCATCCCATTTTCTCTTTATCTTTGATCTGTGTTATGTCTTGAAGCTCAGAGTGAATGGAGTCATCTAGCTGCACTGTGCCAGCTTCCTAGGCCAGCCATATGGTTTGCCCCCAAATACGTGTTGCCATTTCATTAGTTTTGTGGCTTTCAGGAATTCTGCTTAGGCCATTTTCTGTGTAATTCTATGTCCAACTTCGTTTAGGAACTTAAGAGCTCCTGAAGAATTCCCTGGTAGATTGTAGGAATGTTAAATATAGGTTATAAAAACAGCGCAAACTTATTGAGCACCTGCTAAGTACTGGACACTTACAATAACCCCTGAGGTAAAGCGATGGATAAGCACAGACACAGGAACCTTGCCCAGCTAGTGTGGAGTAGAGTTAGGCTTTGCACTCATGTCCTTTGGCTCCACTCTGAACCACTGAGCTATACGGTTTACATGGAAAAGGGTCTCTAAAAGGTCTCTGTTGGTAGGGCACAGTTAATTCCGTCAGTTGAAATACGCGCTTGATCCTAAACCAGCGTTGGTTGTTCATTGAAATCCAGGTGGCTGCTTTCACACCAGGTGTAGATCTTGCTCAAATAATGAGAACAAAGTAAGAGCTCCCTGCAGAAAATGTTCTTTGGAGGCCCACAGATTGTTCACTTTGTTCGCAGGCAAACCTGGAATTCATTGTGACATGTCTTATTTGAGTTATATTAAGTGTAAGGAGTCCTGACAACTATTGAAGTTCGAATGTTCATCGTTAATTTCAGCTCTTTAGTTAAGCTCCTGTGACACGTGCAAGCTTTCTTTGAAATCTGGGAATGAAAATGGATCATTAAAAATGAAGCAAAAATGAGGTTTCATTTCTACAGCTATAAATTGTCTTACAAATTAAGACCCAGAAGCATATAACTTGTTGTTAAAGGTATAACATCTGTCTACTCTATGTGTATTTAGCACTACTTTTGACTAAATTTAAAGTAATAGAGTTTGTCTTCTTTTGAAATCTACCCAAGATTCCCAATAGACTTCCCTTTTCCTTCCCATTCATTCATTCAAAAACTGTTGAGTATCTTTTATGCCATACACTGGGTTAAGTATACTAAAACCTCTTAATTACTAGTATGTTGGTGAGTTGACAGATTATTACAAGCAGTAAAATCTTAATTAAGCCCAGCTATTTGAAATCTCTTGCCTCTGATCGTACTTGGTATAGCAGCAGTTTTGAGAGAGAAGTAAACCAGGTAGTGGTGCATATTTCAGAAGGTAAAACATTGAGATGGCTAAAGATGATGATGACATCACGTGTGGTGCTTTCATACCCCAAAAGGAAGCAATAGAAGCATTTTTACCATTTTTAATAGATCTAAAATGTGATAAATTAGCCTTCAGCCTCAAGGGAAATATTAATTTAGGCTCCTGGTGCTTGATACTTAGAAAGGAGCTGAATCATAATCAGGAGAAAATGATCTGAAGATCAGATCATCAGAGCTAATGTTTCCACTGTGCTCCATAGATGTGACCCAGAGGCCACCTCTATACTGGGGGGTGGTAGGGGGTGGGGGAAGGGGGTTAATGGGCGAAAGCCTGCTTTCCACTCTCAGTCCCTTTTTTATGTTTGAAAAAAGTGTACCGTGGCTAAAGGAAACTTTGAAAAAATGTGACTGTAGACCAATGCACACATTTTACCAATGAGCAAACTGAGGCTCAGACAAATTCCAGGAAAAGCAAATCACTATATGAGAAAGTGAATATAATCATGGTTTTCTACACTGCCTGGCCCAGCAATGAGCCATTTTACATAGCTGTTTTGTCAGCAGGTGTAAATTCTGACTATTGAGTTACCTACAAATTGTGATATAGCTATGCTGGGAGAACTGAACATAATGAAGGATGGGGGTTTGTAAGAAAGTCTTCATACACCCCAATAAGAAGTTAGTAGATAATATCTAAAGCTGATTAATTAGGAAATAAATAGTCTGGTCAACATAGTATTAAAAAATGCAGAGGCTCAATGGAACAGAATACAGAGCCCAGAAATAAACCCACACACCTGTGGTCAATTAATCTCTGACAAAGGAGACAAGAATATACAATGGAGAAAAGACCTTCTCTTTAGCAAGTGATATTGGAAAGGTTAGACAGCCGCATGTAAATGAATGAAGTTAGAACACACCCTCATACCACACGCAAAAATAAACTCACAGTGGCTTAAAGACTTAAATATATGACACAACAGCATAAAACTCCTAGAAGAGAACATAAATCCTAGCAACATTTTCTTAGGTCAGTCTCCCAAGGCAATAGAAATAAAAATAAACAAATGGGACCTGATCAAACTTATAAGCTTTTGTACAGGAAAGGAAACCTTAAACAGAATGAAAAGACAATCTTCAGGCTGGGAGAAAATATTTACAAACAATAAGACCAACAAGGGTTTAATTTCCAAAATATACAAATAACTCATACAAGTCAATAACAAAAATACAAACAACCCAGTCAAAAAATGGGCAGAAGACCTAAATAGACATTTTTCCAAGGAAGACATTCAGATGGCCAATAGGCACATGAAAAGATGCTCAACATTGCTAATTATTAGAGAAATGCAAATCAAAACTGCAATGAGGTATCACCTCACACCAATCAGAATGGCCATCAAATGCTGGAGATGGTGTGGAGAAAAGGGAACCCTCCTACACTGTTGGTGTAAATTGGTGCAGCCACTATGGAGAACAGTATGAAGGTTCCTCAAAAAACTAAAAGTAGAGTTGCCATATGATTCAGCAGTCCCACTCCTGGGCATATATCCAGACAAAACTAATTCGAAAGATACATGCACACCTATGTTCATAGCAGCACTGTTTACAACAGCCAAGACATGGAAGCAACCTGTATGTCCATCAACAGATGAATTGGTAAAGATGATGTGGGTGTGGGTGTGTATGAATGGATAAGGAGGGTGTGGGGTATACACATACACACACACACACACACACACACACACACACAGAGGAATATTACTCAGCCATAAAAAGAAGAATGAAATAATGCCATTTGTAGCTACGTGGATGGACCTAGAGATTATGATACTAAGTGAAGTAAGTCAAAAGAGAATGACAAATACCATATGATATCACTTATATATGGAATCTAAAGTATGACATAAATGAACTTATCTATAAAACAGAAGCAGACTCACAGACATAGAGAACAGACTTGTGGTTGCCAAGGGGGGTGGGCAGGGGAGGGTTGGATTGGGAGTTTGGGACTAGCAGATGTAAACTATTACATATAGGGTGGATAAACAACAAGGTCCTGTTGTATAGCACAGGGAACTATATTTCAATATACAGTAATAAACCATAATGGAAAATAAAGTAAAATTTATTATAAACTTAAAAAAAATTTTAAATGCAGAGGTAGGAAGAAAATGTAAAATAGTACATAAGTAAATGCTAAAAAAATTGAATTTTGATTTCTGTTCAGAACAGGTCTAAGCATACAGAAGGGAGGCAAGAACTGCTGTTTTCTGTGAATATGTTATGTTTTTAACAAATAAAATTAAAACTTTTTTAAAAAGGTATATTATGCATTTGCATTCTGTGTATGCTTCCTACCCTTGGTAAATAATAGGTCGTTCGTCAAGGAGACCATTCCCTGGAAGAGAAAAATTAGCAGGATGCTAGAAGTGAAATTTCTCCATCATATGATCTAAGGGCTGAGGCTTGAGGGGTCAGATCTGCGGCAGGATGTTTCCCAACTAAATCAGTTATGCCTTTGGCTATTCATTTGGCACTCTCCCTAAATTACCTTAGGGACACAAGCTGCCTCCAGAAAGAAAGTAAAAGCATGACTGGGCAAAGATTTCAAACAGACTGTACTTAGGAGACGATTTATCTGACAGTTCCTGTTTGTCCTGTGTTATACCAATTCTAAATAATAATTGGTTCGTAATTACTGTTTTTAATGTTTCTTTTTTCAAACAGGGCAATGCACATAAAATCATGGAGAAATGTACGTTACCACTGACAGGAAAACAATGTGTCAACCGCATCATTACTGAAAAGGTAAAGTGCCTTTCTCTTTTATTTCCTCTAAATGTCTACCACCTTTTTTTTTTTTTAATAAGCATTTTAGAACTTTTTTGTTACCTTCTAAAAGTGTGTTATATTGGTAGTCATAGGATTAATTTAATCCATGGGTAGACCTAATAGGAAGATTCATCAATTTAATGTTTCTAGATGTAAAATTCTTAATGTGAAATTCTCTGGAAATATGCATATACATATTGAAATACTGTCCTTGGTAACTTTGACAGTGTGATATAATAAAAGTTGTACTGATCCTTATACTTGGGCTATTAAAATGGATGATATATACAAAGTTAAGACTACCTTTCTTCTTTGCTTTCCCAAATCACAAGTACAAATTGTTGGATCTCATTTTAGGAAACTCAGTAAAAATTAGGTTTTAATCATTTAGGTGCAAATTGCAATACAGGCCCCACAGTGAACCAAGAAATCTATTCTTTGGTTCTTGCATGCGTTCAGCCCTCTTTTATAAAGCAGACTTTAGAACGCACCAGACATTTTAGTGCACCTCTAGATTTTATCTTCCTAAATAGAAAATATTGGTTAATGGTACAACTGAAACTGCTCAGATCAGAGAGAAACATCACTGTTGGTTGCTACAGTCACCTTTCTGACCCAGATTTGAACCTAAGATGTTGGAATGACATAGTTCTCATAAATGAGCTAGAAGGGTGTCATTTTCTTGATTCAGTATCTTGATGAACCACAAGACAGAATTCGCTAGATCAGCATTTGTTCCTTTGTTTTCTCTTAATGATGCTGTTCCTTTTGGCATTAATCTGGTTTAGAACCCTCATTCAGGTATGGTATGAAGCACCCTAAAGCAGCCTTTTGAAGTAGGTTAGAAGGCTCATAATACTTTTCAGAAGCCACATTTTAAGGAGAGTTCTGTCCTAAATGGTGCCTTCCTCTAGGGTTGTTTATGTGGAATCCATAAAGATGACGTGTAGAGAAGAAAAAGTGGACAAAAGTGCAGAATATTTTATCTCACCATTTATTCCTTGAGTCTTATCATTTCGTAAACCCCTCCAAAACCATGGACAGGACTGGTTGAAAAGAATCCATTACTTTGAAATCAAAGACAAGACAGTCCTTGATCCTGTTTTCTTTAATAAAGTAAGGTGGTACAGCTTCTAAGGATAATTCCAGCAACATTTTACCCCTGATCTTCCTCTTCCCCCAGGTAAGCCCTCTCCCTACATCCCCACTCCACATATGCCCTGACCTTGTTCTTACCAGTTTAGTGCTTCTACGTGCAACAGCTCCCACTCAACTCTACCTGTCCAAATCCTATCCATCCCTTAAGTCTAATGCAATTTCCATCTTCATCATGAAGAGGCTTCAGATAGCTTAGCACTCACAACTTCATCTTCAGAGTGGTCCACCTTTCATTTTGGCACTTACCATCTAATACCTACATTTTCTCATGACATTATTCATACATTACTTGCCATTACTCATACATTACTTAACTTTGCTGCCATTTAAAAAAATCTTCTACCCTTTCTATCCACATTGTTGTTTCATACATTTATCCATTTAATAAGCATTTTTAAGCTCCTTCTCTGAAGCCGACTATTGCCAACAGTGGGTACAGAAAGGAGAACAGTCTTTGCCCCCAAGGAGCACATTCAAGGAGAGTAGACAGCAACAGCACCAGCCTGTATTAGAGGTACACTGATAAAGTCCATGAGAGAGAGACATGCCAAATGCTGAGCTGAGAACGTAGAGGAAGGCTGCTTAACAGCCTGGGGAGAGTGGTGTCAAATATTAACTTTTTCCCAGTCTGGATCTTTTCTCCTCCAGTCTCAGCTTCTCTCATTTTGCCTTAACATTCTCCCTACTTCAGCCATGCTGAATGTTGTGCGCACTATGTTGCATCCCCTGCCCTCGCCCCCGCCATGCTTCTCTGGGACTTGGCACATCCTGTCTCTCTCCCTGGCATGTTCTCCCCACCCCAACCGTCTGGCTAATTCCTGTTCATCTTTTATGTCTCAGCTATATAATTTCTTCGCTGGCAAGTCTTTCATATCCCTCCCCAAGTCTTCTGGGTGCTTCCATGAGTCTTAGTACTTACCCTAACTCAGCACTGATCACTGTATTGAAATAACCTTTGAGCTCTCTGCCTGTCTCGCTCATCACTATTTGTCCAACACTTAGGATAATGCTTGACCCATACACAGTGAAAGCCTGTTGAATACATACTGTACTTTTCTCAATGAGAAAATTAATAGATTGAGTGAGGACCCTTGAAAGATAAGTAGTTTTATAAGTGAGAATAAGACCAAAGAGGCCCTTCTAGGCAAAGGGAAGAAACATTGGCAGGGTCCTCGAGGAATTAAGAAAACAGAGTTTACTCAAGGACCCGTGAGTGGGATAATGTGGAGTGAGGGCATGGCCAGAGATTCTGAAGGCTGAAGGTGAAAAGCCAGTAAGGGACCAAATTATAAAGGAGTGTGAATGTCTTGTTAAGAAATTTGGGTTTTATCTGGAAGGCACTTGGGAGCCCTTCGGTGATTTTTAATAGTTGGGGACACCATTGATTAGATTTGCATTTTACAAAGAGCCCTGTGGCTTTTATGTAGAGTAGGGGGAGAAGAGATGAGACTCCTTCAGTTATGTTGGCCAGAAATATCAAGGTCCTTAACCACAAGACAGAAAGAGAGATTTCAAAGAGATTTAGGAGATGGACTCAACCTAACTCGATGATGAATGGGACGTGGTTGCTAAGGCAGAGGTGATTCCTGAATTTTCTGGCTAGAGGCATGGTCGACCTGTTGTATCCTTAATGAAGGCTGGGTCTGTAGGAAGAGAAAGGGAGGAGCAAGGGGAGGCAGGAAAAGAATAGGTGCCATTTGAACATACTCAATTTGATATTCCGGAGTAAGTTAACATCCGGAACATCCGCGGGCACCTGGAGCTCAGAGAAGTCATCACTGGAACGGATGTGTGAACTCATTAGCAGACGGGGATAATTGGAGGCTTAACGGCAACGGCAGATGGTGTTGTGTAGCAAAAAGGAGTAAAGTGAAAGGCAGCTACATATGGAACTTCGAGTGCCCCAGGGAAAGGAGTGGTGCGTTTACCCCTGTGCCGTATCCTGTAGGTGTTTAATAAATTTTGCAGTGCCATTAAGGTCATTGACTCTGGACACTCTGCCAGAGTGATATGGGACTAGAATTCCATTTTCAGCTCTTAAGGAAAATTCCATTAGTTGCCTGCCATTTGAAAGAGGCTTTGGAGATGTTATGACCCTGATTTCTTGGTTTCGTGTTGCTAGAATGATGTGATGAAAGAGGCCTTCCTCACCAGTACTTGGGCTGTGACTGACTGCTTTATCCGTAATGCAGCCTGTTATGGTGGTGAAAAAATAATAAAAGTATCATCTGTGAAACAGAGTAGTCGAAATATTATTCTTGGCAGTTGAACAATTGATTGTAGCTTTTAGGTTTTAGTGTCCATTTTTATCAAGTTTTTGTTTACACTTTATACCGCTAAATGGAAATCTTCCTAAATATTTCAAAAGTAAATTTCCCATTTTTACAAATCATAGATGCTTAGTTTTCCTTGAGAGGAAATTAGGGACCTTGACCTTGAGAGCTAATTAGGGATTGATAAAGGTGTTCATTAAAGGTTTTTAAAAGCAGTAAGTCATTTGCCATAGATTTTATCTTCTCAATCACTGAAGTCTTATATTCATGATACCAAAGTTGTCTTCTCCCCAAATCCTCTTCCTGCCTGTTCTTAATAACACACCCCAAAGGCTCTTTTTCTCTTATTTGTTCCATTTTGATAAATTTGTAGTTGTTCATAATACAGGGGAAAGAAAATCAGTATGAATGATGCTCCAGACACACTTTCTGCAAAGGAAAAGTGTCCAATTAAAAAAAAAATTGTGGGCTTCCCTGGTGGTGCAGTGGTTAAGAGTCTGCCAGCTGATGCAGGGGACACGGGTTCGTGCCCCTGTCCGGGAAGATCCCACATGCCGCGGAGCGGCTAGGCCCGTGAGCCATGGCCGCTGAGCCTGTGCGTCCAGAGCCTGTGCTCCGCAATGGGAGAGGCCACAACGGTGAGAGGCCCGCGTACCACAAAAAATTTGTAATTGTCATTTGGGAATTGAATGACGTACTGAAGCATACGGACATTCCTAGATGATCATTTTTTTCCCCCTCAAAATACATTTCTGCTAAAAAACGTTTCTTTAGGAACATAAAAATGTGCAAACAAAAAAGAAGTTTGCTGAAATATTTCCTCCTAAATTTAAATAATCTTTTCCAGTAGAATCAACCAGGTTATCTATGAATTCATCAAACAAACAGAGAAGGCAAGTATCACTGGTCCCCTTGATGTTTTCCTCCTGAGGAGAAATATCAATTAACTGGATGCAAATAAGCATTTGGGGACTTTGATTTGGGTTCACGCACAAGTGACAGTAAGTTAAGCTGTTAAGGAAAAGCATATGCCTCTATGGTGCCCTTGCTGTATGTCCCAGGCATGAGGCCAGCTGCTCAGAGTAGGTTTGTTATTATATTTGTCCTGTATAAAAATCTTGGGAAGTAGGTTTGTTTGACATCCATCTACACATGCAGGTGAACCTGAAGACAGGTTCACCAAAGATTGCATAGCTAGTGTTGGCAGAGCTGGAATTCCAGTCCACCTTGAAAGCCAGGGTTCTTTGCTCTGCATGTTGCTGTGTCTTCTTTTTTATTTTTATTTAAACATTTTTTAAAATTTTATATTGGAGTACACACTGCTGTGTCTTCTTAATAGCCTCCTAACCAGGAGTGTGTTTAAAAATGACAGTTTAGGGTTTGACTTCCAAGCTAGCTGAAAATAAAGATTCTAAGCCTGAAAATAATAGTTGAATTTAAGGTAAACCCAGAGGAGAGGAGCAATCTGGAAAGAATAATATTTAAGTCTGAGGAAGACTAACCATGACAACTGAAAGAGGGAACAGTGCCTGTTGCATGGGAGGACAACTTACTATAGAGCCCGTGAGTGAAAGTCACAGGGAAGCAGTTATGGCTCTTGCAGTTAGAGCTTCCTATCAACAGGCAATCTGCCTGAGACAGTGAGCCTCCTACCGCTGGAAGTTTCTAAACAGAGCCCTAGCGACCATCTCAGAAGAATGTTTTAAAGAATTCTTGGGTGGGAGGTTGTATTACATGATTTTGTTGGTCCCTTCCACTCAAGTTGTCATATTACCGAGTGTGACCATGTGCGTTCTATATCAGACATGACAGGTTGCTTGGGTCAAGCTATACCAGTTGGCACTACCATCACTTAGTGTTACCAACCAGAATGTTGTCATGCAATATTTAGGGTGAGGTGAGCCTTCTCATGCTGTCCTAAACATCAGCATCTTCATTTGATTTCCATACCAGAGGGAGATTCTCATGCTCTACTTTTGGATCTATGTGTTTTCATAGGACTTAAAGGGAAAGCTTTACTATTTACCTGGGGATGGGGGTGATCTTTCAGGGCCAGCTATCCCTTTATAATTACTCCTAGCTACTTCAGAGCACCTTCTTTTGTTTCCTGTAGTTTATCCAGAAGCATTGATCAGCTTCCCCCCATCATCCCTGTGCTTTCACCTTCCAAATACCTCCTCCCTCCCTGCTTTTCTTCATTCTTTTCTTTCTTCAAATCATTATTCATCATCAAATTGAAATTTTGACCCAAAGTGTTAGATCTAACAAAAAGAAAGTTTAAAAAAACCTGGTTATTATAGTAGCAAATGCCATCAATAGTCAACACTCACTTATTTTCTGGCATCAGCAGAGCTCCCTAACTGCCAGTTAGGGAGTTGGCATTTATTCTCACCAAAATATAGCAGTTACGGTTTACATTTTTTCATTGCTGATTTTCAGTCTTTTATCCTGAGTCTTTTCTCTCCTTAAAGAACTTGAGAGGTTATTTCTGTTTTGTGCTATAAAATAATTACCATAATAGAAATTGTCATTGTCATTTTCTTGACTTCTACAGGCTGTATTTGACGTGGACAACAAGAAAGGCCTGACTCTGATTGAACTCTGGGAAGGCCTGACAGTGGATGACATAAAAAAGAGCACTGGGTGCGATTTCGCAGTAAGTGTTGCTGTGAACAAATCCAGCCACTTGTCCTATATCCTGAGCTTGATTAATGGGTGTTTATGCGACATGAACCATTAATTTGTGATCATTTTTGGAGTTGACCTTAGCAGAGAACAGGAGTGGAAGGAAGGGTGCCTCCGCTGAGAGCAGGTGGCAGCAGGAACAGGATGTGGCTCATGGGCCAGGGTCTGGCTCAGGAGTCAGAAGGGGGAGGAAACACCAGGAGCTGCTGGAAACAGCAGGTTGAGCTTCAACTCGAAGCTACTTTCTGTCAAGTCCCTTGCAATCCTCTGTTCTTGGGTTACGTATCAGCTGTGGCCAAACTTAATTAACTAAAAAATGCGAGCCACACTCAGAGAAACGGTACTTCCTTATTTTTAAACCCATCTATGACTTATGACTTTCTCTTTGATTAACTTCTTTGCCTGATTGTTCCATCCCTTGGAGATATTAGAATGTCGAGCTTTTGACACCACCAGATTTATAGTCACAAAATAGGTGTTCTCTGTATTTGGAGAAAAACTTAGTGCATTAAAACTCTGACTCACAAAGCAAATAAGAACATCAGGGGAGTATCCACTTAAGAAATCTCCAAATCCCTTTTTAAAACTAAGAGAATAATACTGTAATATAAATAATCGCCCTTTAATATAAGTGATTGTTTATGAATCACCAATCGCCTACCTAATGGGGGTCGAGAGGACAGCTCAGTCCATTTGAAGTTAATCAAATGTAAAGTCGAAATGTGTCTGAGAAAATGAAGAAATAGACTTTACTTCTCACATAACTTTTTAAGAACAGCTCTATGTGTTAAAATGAAATATATTTATAATGAGAAGAAATATTGCAGCTACCCATCCTGGAGAAGGTAATTTAATAAAACTTACTTGATAAATCATGCATGTATTTCATACATTTCTTCCATAGGTACTACATGCTTGGCTGGTACCTGTCAGTGCGTAACAAATGTCTGTAAAAACAATTTTGCTGCATAATTCATTATCCACATATAATTGTTTCTGGTATTATATGAAGGTCTTTGTCTATTAACCTTTTTTTCAATTTCCCTTTGGAAAAAAAGAAGCTTTCCAACAATACCTTACATGAAAAGCTCATCTTTAATTAACTTTTCAATGACCCCAGGGGGTTAAAAATGGGATTTGTTTATAGTTTAACTGTTTAGAATTCCTTACTCCAGTGATAAAAGTAAACAGTTCTTCTTACTTAATTAGCTATTTATATTTTTTCCCTATGTGGATGAGTTAGTCTCTTCTTCAGCAGATAGCATTTTTGAGATCTATAGAATGTTCCAGTCTCTGCTGCAAAAGGGAATTGCAAAAAAGATCCTCATTGTTATCAGGTTTGGGTTTTTTTTTTAGTCACGTAGGTAAATCAGGAATGAAAAAGATGTATTTTTTACTGTTTTTGCTTTTTCTTAAAGTGCTAGTTTCCATGTCTTGATACATTGAAAAATATCTCTATGGCCCCTCTTTTATCACAGTACCACCCCTCCTTCTCTTTTGACATTGACATGTAATCTGGTTTCCTCCAAATTAGGCTGTTGAAATGAAATGTTAATTTTTATGTCAGTGTTGCCCTGAAAAGGTGTAGTATCAGCTAAACCATCTTGACAGAAGAACTGGATTTTGAGGATCTGTTGATCAATGGCATCTCTTTAGACCCTGACAGATGAAGTCATGTGTATCAAAATCTTTGTAAGGCTAGGGTCTGGAGTGTTCTAATTAATAAGATGTTTTGCCTAATAGCTGGGTTATCAGTAAGATACATTTAATAATAAAAGTACATTGGGATAACATCTCTTTATTTGATAATTCAGAGGTATTCCATGTCAAAATTCAGAAGATATCTCATAAGATTATTACTGCATAGGTAGCATTTTACTCTATATCTGACTACATTACAACTTGCTCAAGATTTCTGTTTGAGAAAGGATTTCTGTTTCTCAGCCTTCACTGTATACCGAGAAGTGAACATTCTAGAAGAGAATAGTTAGACAGGTTGTTGCATAACAGTTAGACAGGTTGTTGCATAAAGAAAAAAAAGTAAAAACCTAGGTCAAAGTAATTGTGAAAATGTGTTGGTAAAGGTCCTCTATACTTAAGAATATGGGCAAGTGTATGGGCAAAGGATACAGAATGTGGATATAAGCTGATTGAGAAAATCCTGAGAATTTCAAAGAAAAAGACAAGATATGACAGCATCAGATAACAGGGCATGACAAAATTGTTGTTTCAGGGTATTAAAAATAATAGTTATAATGAACTATTTGGGCATTAAAAAAAAAAAAAAGAATCACTAAGACTTTCCTGTGTGCCACAGTGCAATTAACAAAAACAACAAAAAGTGTGAAAGGAAAATGTGTCCCTTAGGTATCACCTGAAATAGCTTCTTAAAAAATTCGTAGTAACCATAGTGCCAGCTGAAAAGAGTTTTCTTTTCAATTAGGAGGAAACTCTCTTAAGGGTCATGTTATATCTAGAACTCCAAAGGAAGCTGTGGAAATCTTGTAAAAAAAAAAAAAAAAAAGCAGATATTGACTATATTTCTGGAACCTTCATCACACTTCTAAAATAAAATTCTGGTCAAGAGTAGTTCACAGCAAGAGAAGCCAACCCATAATGGACAGAGATCTTGCTCCATACCATCACTCTCCTTCAAAATGCAGTTGTTATAAAGAAAGGGACTTCCCTCTATATTTCTTGGGGATTGAGTTCCGAATCTATTGAGAGAGAGAAGGGAGCTGGGCAAGTTGAGGTTAAAAACATCATCATTATAAAGCCCAGAATGAAGGATGGGGCTTTGGTGTACAGCCACAAAAGCCTTCCCAGATACGAGCCCCTGAAGTGGGGAAGACTTCAGCTCCCAGTTACAGGCAGCCATGGAAAATCATAGGCCTTCTACACAAGGGCAAGTCTTTACTGCTGAGCTTCTTTCCACGTGACTGAGAGCAAAATAGAGCACGTGCTGCCTACAGAAGGCTGATCCCGATGAGGAAGAAGAGTTGGGCTGAGTTTCACATACCCCAGTTCCTCTGCCCAAATCATCATTTAGTTGAGCCATTAAGGGACACACTTGAGGCCAGAGTATTACACTAATAGGTATCCCTCCACATGGAAGGGAATGTGAGAAGTGGGAATAAATGCTCCACCCCAGCACTGTTGCTGGGTAGAGCCATACACACATGTTCACCCTCTACACATGCTTGATTGTGATGCTGTGCAGAAATGCTTTTCTGTTGTTCTTTAATGCTACTAGCTCCCAACATTTTTATAACTAAGGAGTCCTTTGGTTTATTTTTTTCCCAGGGCACTCACATTTTGAAAATATTCTGTCTCTCAAATAAATATCCAGTAATAATTCATTTTCAAAGAGTCAAAGTGATACTGCACAGTTCCTCATATTATAGCTGTGACAAGCTAATGAAAATGTTAAATTTCTTTAAATTTTTTGGGCTATACTTGCATCACTTAGTGTGTTACTGCCAGCTATTTGATGGGTCAAATAGAAAGAAAAAAGAAAGGTGACATTCCACCACTTAAATTCCATGATCTGCAAAGTATCTTTTTCAGTGAGTAGTTAATTCAATTGGTTATTCATTTCTTTCTTTTCTGATGCATGCTTGAGTTACATAAGTTTTTCTTTACTATGTATGTCTGTGGACCTTTTTAAACTAGAATATTTGTTTCTTTTTTAAGTTAAAAATTTTTAAATAAATTGAATCCATAGTTGAACATCATGTGGTAGAATAAACTTCCAGAGGTTATTAGTCGTCCATGATTATTTATTAAACACCAAGTGTATGTCCCATATTGAGCTATGAAATGTGAGTAAAATAGAACAAATTGGTATAGTTCCTCCTCCTAGGGGCCTTGGTCTTGTTCTCTAGGTAGGAATACACCTAAACCACCAGTGGCAAAACATCAAATAAGAATCCTGCCTATTTATATGTTTGCAGTGGAATCTGAAAGAAGCCAGCTGTGAGCATTCTTTGCCAAGTTGAATAAATTTGTACTCTCAATATCTATTATGAACTGGCATTATACCAGAATTAAACAGTATACTCTTTGGATTTCAATGGACTGGGAAGACGACTCGTTAGCTTATCTTATGCATTTAAATCATATAGTCCTGTGCATAGCCTGTAGATCACTTTGGAAGGATAATCCGCTTCAGCTTACATGGACTTACAATGTTGATGAGACTGTGAGAGAACAGATGAAAAATGGAGGTTCAGTAGATGTTTTTCTGTACAAAAATAGACAGGCCAAGTCAGTCTACATAAAGGTTCATCTTCTTTTCTGATAAAAGCCAAGTTCCACACTGAGGATATAAATGATACTAAGAGCTGAAAATAGGGCCAACATGACAAGGAGAAGGATCAGATGTTTAGTTTAAAGAATCAAGGTGTCCAGTTTCCTTTTAAAGGTAATGCCATAAAGCACCTATTAGTGCTTTATGGCATTAATCACCTATTGATCTGTTGTCAAAAAAGAGTTTTATTTCATTAAATTATTTCCACAGTTGCTCTGTTGTTTAAAAAAAGAAAATCGATAGTTTGTGAGACACACTTTCTAAATACTCGGAGCCCATATATCTTTATTCTTTCCAGTAGAGTTGAATATCTCTGCAAATGTGGGCTGTGACTTTTGTCTATTAATGTCTATTACTTTGTCTATTATGATATATCTGTTCTCGGAGCTGGCAAGTCTGAATGAGCTCTCATTTATCCTAAGATATGGACATGTACCAAGCCATTCCTATCCTTTTTATTCTAGACATGTCATTCTTTAGGTAGAAAAATGGAGAAGGGGGCATTAACTCTCGACACTGTGAAGACTTTATAAACAATTTACAAATGAACTAGGAATATTTAACTTCATCAAAGCCAAATGATTGCCTTCTTCTATTCTTAATACCGACTTAACCTCTATTAGAAACCTTTCTTCTAGTTCCTGGAAGTTTATCTAATCCAGTCACTCATTCATTCATTTAAAAAAATATTAAGTGTTTATTTTGGAAGGCAAATTAGACCCACTTCAATTGCCACATCCTTGAAGGTCTCAAAAATCACCTAAATTTTAGTATTCCTTACTGTGCTGTCCGTGGGGCCTGTTACTCGGACTTAATGGATATTTGCCAGATTAAATGAAGAAATCTGTACCTGCCATTACACCGTGAAAAATCAGTCAAAATTAAGCCAGACTACTTATATTTAGGTTTCTTCTTCCACCACCTTTACCATTAAATGTAGATCTGTCCTCATATTTCTCTGCTTCAAGACTCCTAGGAATATATTTGCTATTTTGTACATTGAACATAATTATAGTTAATATTTTTAATGCTGTTACCTCCTTTTCGTAATAACTTGGTATCTTTTTACTGCCTTTATATCATTTCCACTCTGATTATGAAATTTCTGATAAAAGTTTGTCATCCAAAGACTACATTAAGTATCTCTTAACAAAATTGTGAATGACTGGACCTATTTTGAGGATTTTGAAACTTGTGCCTTGCTCTGTGTCTCTGTTTCATCAATCTCAGAGCCCAGTGGTCCTTTCAGTAGATAGTTTGGTTTTCTGGACCCTTTATTTGTCTCCCGCGGCTCCTCCCCTACCTCCTCCTAGTTGCGAGTCTTAATGATCCTTAATTTTTTTTTTTTTTTTTTTGCGGTATGCAGGCCTCTCACTGTTGTGGCCTCTCCCGTTGCGGAGCACAGGCTCCGGACACGCAGGCCCAGCGGCCATGACCCACGGGCCCAGCCGCTCCGCGGCATGTCTGTGGCATGTGGGATCTTCCCGGACCAGGGCACGAACCCACATCCCCTGCATCGGCAGGCGGACTCTCAACCACTGCGCCACCAGGGAAGCCTAATGATCCTTAATTTAAGAGCTATAATGCAAGAAGGTTGAGAACTACTAAATATACAAAATGTAAACGGAAAAGGTGTTCTTTTTCTCAGTGGTTCAGAATGGAAAATAACGAGGAAACTCCTGGTGAGGTTCCTGAGAAGGCTGCTTGTTTCCAAACATGACTCAGGTTTGGAAATTCAAAGTAGAGATGTTTATACCATGAGGTTTTTTCATAAGTTGCTTATTTATTTCTCTTTCTTTTACCAGGTTTCACCAAAACTCATACCAATGCAGCAGATCGCAATTTGAAATGTGGAGTAGACTTTTGTCCCAAGCTGTGTGTTTTTCATTTTAACCACATAGGATTTTATTAAAAGGACATCAGTAATCATAACTGTATATCTAACAAGCAGTTTTTGACTAGTTTTCTATCATCTTAATGCTTTATACAGCCATGTAGACTTTGTTCTCTCAAGCGTACTGTGACATTTTAATGAAAAACAAAAAGAAAAAAAATATTATCTTATTTGCTTTATAAGTGCTGAGAAGGTCATATTTACAGTTGCTGCTCACATTGGGTTTATCTTCATCTTCTGTGGTATGTACATTAAATTGTGTGCAGTTTGTACCAAGATGGGCCCTTACTTAGGAAGAGTTTCATTGATGTACTTTCCCTCCTAACTAAATCATGACACATAGAAAAAAAAAATGAGGGAGAAAATGAACTCCACCCAGAGTATACCCAGGGGAGCATCGTACTAGTCCTGAAAGATAACATTTGTGTGAATTTTAATCAGGAGAAATGCTGTCTTAAGGGTTATGATTTTCCTTCGGCCTCCTCTGTCTTTTTTTTTGGAGCCTCTGATTTTGTGATTACACCTTGTTTCCCTAGAGCATCCCTTCTCCCACCCCTCCTAACCCCCCCACTTTTTGTAACTAAGTAGATACCCAAGAAGGCAAACAGGAACATCTCTGTGTGGGAGAAGTAACCTGGTTTGTGGGAGAGACCGAAGGGTATAGGGTCTATTGGTGCTGACATCCAACCGAGAAGTTGCCTTTATAAACAAACCAAATAACCATCTGTGCTTTGCCAAAGATTAAAGTTGCTTTTAGCAAGAGGGCTATAAGCCTAACTGACCTAGTCAGTTTTCTCATTTTCAAACTGTACAGTATTTGTGTGTATCCAGAGGGACCATTAAGTGTCTTTCTCTATGTTACTGTGGGCTTCTTATACAACACCACCTCTTAGACCAAAAGGGGCTGTGCGGTAATTCATCGTGAACCCATAGTAATAGTGACAGCAGAGTTAAAAAAAATCCTTGCTTTTCAGGGCCTCTTTTTTCTGCTCAGAAAAGTTTCTAAATGTTGAATGCCTTTTTCTGAAGAACAGTGTTATTTCTTCTGCCCAGGCTTGTTCCTTGAACAAAGTACTTTTAATTCAGCTTTATCAAACTAAGGGAAATACTGATGAGCAAATCCAGGATTTGAAGAGCAGTGAACTTCATTCTTAGAAAATAAACATGATGGATTAGGTTTTGCAAGGACCTTCTCCTCAGAGGTATCCTCAGTATCAAACAGTTCCCCAGGGAGTATACCAAGCATCCTGAATATCAAATGGGAGAAAAGTCTAGGCACCCTGAAGACAGGCCAGATTGCTGTCCTCTGGACAGAGGTAGGCATAGTGCGATACACCATTTCTCTCATACCAGATATAGGAATTTATGCATGTTCTTAGCTGATGGTTGCCGCTGAAATTCACTTTCTCTTCAGATATAGCTACAGTTCTGTCATTTCAGAGGAAGGAGAGGGTATTTTTGTGAGAAGCACACTCCATATATAAAATGGTCCCTCTGGCTGGCTGCATGGTTGAAAGCATACTCTCCCAGTACCGGTAAAATGGACTTTTTAAAGAATTTGCCAGGTCTGGAGAAATGATATACATCCATGTTAGAGTTATGGTTCGGAAAGTGTGTGATATTGATGGTTGCTATATTTGTAAACTTACTTATTCTGTGATTCTAAGAATGTTCTTCACTTTGAGTGGCAAATCCTAAGTAGATGGCTTTATATTCTTGATTAAAGAGTACCATGGATGGGGCTTCCCTGGTGGTGCAGTGGTTGAGAGTCCGCCTGCCGATGCGGGGGACACGGGTTCGTGCCCCGGTCTGGGAGGGTCCCACGTGCCACGGAGCGGCTGGGCCCGTGAGCCATGGCCGCTGAGCCTGCGCGTCCGGAGCCTGTGCTCCGCAACGGGAGAGGCCACAACAGTGAGAGAGGCCCGCGTACCGTGAAAAAAAAGAGTACCATGGATGTTAAGAAATGCATTAAGATGTACAATAAGTATTCCAAATTGATATAGATTGGTGTGATTGTCCTTTTTCTCATTTGGGAATGGCATGCCTAAACATGGGAATAATACAACAGAGATTGGTGGAATAGCCAATAATAAAGTTAGCACACTGTACCACTTCTAATCGAGTTACAGCTTTTTCTTTTGATCTTACCAAAGAAAAGCTATTATCCTTCATGAAAGAACAAATGAAATGTTTACCTAGATGAATTCCGGCTTTGCTCCTTGTCAAAGTCAATGATCTGTCTATAAAAATTGATTATCCCAGATTTCACATGTTAATATTTCTTTGCTTTTATGTAACATTCCTTTAGGATACACATACATCAGTAATTTCCCAGTGGGGTGTTGCGTTTGCTTGCATTTTGAAGTGGCTCTGGTGATGTCTACGCAGCACCTGTGTTGCCCCTCTCATAACAGACTCACCCCCTGGCCAAGGAGTTGGGCCTGTGCTCAGGATATGCCTCTTTTGGTAGCTCTTCTTTGTCCAGAGTGATTATACCCGGGGGTGGATGTATGACCCAAAATGTACCATTCAGGTTATTTATCCTCTGTTTACAAACTGGAGATGAGAGAGAAGCCAATTTTCTGATTCCTCCTGTTCCCTAAGCCATAAGAAGAATGTGACTCTGGCACCAACATCCTGCCCCCCACCCCCACCCCAATACACACACGCTACAAGCTGAGCTCCAGTTGGAGAGAAAGAAGTGGAAACACACACTGCAGCTGTAGGGAGGAGGCATCCTGGTGGTATTTGAGTTCCCGTTTCTGCACATATCGAAGGCCAACTTCTCTCCATCCATGCTTGTAAATGAGCCCAAAATTTCCCCTTTTTGCTTGAGCAGATGTATTATTGAGCAGATGCCTTTGTCACTTGCACCCAGAGTGTGAACTCAATCAGCTTTGGTAATTCTTGAGTCCTAGGAGGGATCTGGTCTCCTACAGAAGGTATGCAGAATACAAGCAAAACTGCTTGTCCCTGGGCCCGGAGAACATATGTAAGAACATTTATAGGTGTTACCCAGTGGGTAGAAAGGTTGTGGGTAGAGGTTTTCTTTCTCCTACATCGCAGTATAGTCAGCACAACTTTGAAAATTATTCTAGTGGAAGTGTAAGCAGAGATTTATTCAATGGATGGGTTTCCTTGCACTAACCTTTTCCCTTTCCTCGTAAAACATTACCTTGAGTTTCTTCAGCTTATTTTCAGATTCTTCATTTTTAAGATGGGGAGAATATATTATCTTCCACCATGGTTCAATAAAATATAATTAATACATCTGGTTGCAAAAATACTGACAGATCTTTTAAAAATGTCTGTCAGTACTACCAGAATCGTCTCTTGTTCCTGTCCTTTTATTTTCTACACTGCCTTCCCACTTCCCACTGCCATACTGAATATCAAAGTGGATTTACGCATAAATATCAATAAATGTCATGTGGTCTAAGTGCATGACTGTGTGACATATACTTGAAGTGTCCTTGTTCCATAATATTAAATATGTCTGTGTGAAATCATCCAAAGGCACCTTTCATGTAGCACATAGCAAGTCTCATGGGAGTGATGCCCATACCAATCCAGGTAAGTAATTAATAAGACAATTCCTTCCCTCAAAGTCACAATCAAACACAAAATGATATTTGCTTGTGGAGGTTAAGCATGCTTGATTATCATGGTCCTCATTGCCTTTAATGGGGTGCCACTCCGGGTGGTCCACTTGGAAACGACCTCAGGCAGCTACCCTGGCTTTTTTGTAGCATGAATCACCTAGGATCCTATTTCCACTGACGAACCATGGGAGCCCAGGTACCTAATGCAGTCATTTTATGTTTTGGGCTCATTCCTAGGCATTCTATCTGCTACCCTTTAAATTTTTCAAGAGAAAATTATAGACCAGGCTGTCTATAATTGGGGAAGCTAGTAAAATAGTCTTGTTCAGGCTTCAGAGGCAACAATAGGCCTTTGACTAAACAAGGACCCTGAAAGAGCTACATGCCGAACTGCTAGACTGCATGCGGCTCAGCAGAAACGGTGCTAGCAAGTCCTGGGAACCAACGGATAAAGGAGGGAGTAAGTCACGAAGCTTCCTGGGCCTTGGGAATCTGGCCAGTTCCCGGGGATCAGCGAACATTGGACCCTTCCCAACTGGGGCTCCAGATTGCTGTTACTCGGGACTTCCCAGCTGCTGCTTGGATCTGGAAGTAGGTGTCGGCCCGATTCGGTGATGTATGCTCTGTTATATACTCTGTTTATATTCTTATTCCTCTCCCTCTAATGATTGTATATTGAAATTTATATACTCTGTTAATATTCTTATTCCTTTCCTTTTAATGATTGTATATTGAAATTAAGTTAAATCACGTTCTATTAAAGATTTGATTGAAGCTGTTTATTTGTGTGAGAGAGTAGTTATTTTGCCAGCGAATCCAACGAACCTAACCGAAAGCAGGCTTTCGGCAAAACACAGGCTCACATTTAAACCCTGATGTTGTATTTGAAGCTTCTCTCTCTTGATTTGGGGATAGGAGGTAGCATCTCCTACTTTGCCTTCTTGGGTTAGAGTGCCCAATAGCTCTCCAAAGCTCCACAAATACGCCTTTAATCTCCAGCTCCCAGCCCTTTTATGTACCCAATATAAGTAAGGGTTTAAGGGTTGTCTGTTTCTTAGCCAGATATTCCAAAATGTGCGCATAGTGGCCTCACTTTGGAATGTAGCATACATTGTGTCTGTGTGCTGTTTTTAACATCTTGTATATTAGTATAACAACTCCGTGACTTGCCCGTGGTAGCTTTCCAAATGTGTTTATTAAACCAATTTACTAGTTGAAAACATGAGGTGACAGTAAGCCAGGCCTGAGGGTTTCCCTTAGCTAAATAATTAGGTTAAGACCTCTGAGGAAGATGTAGGAAAAAGAAAAGGAAACAAATAAGAGGTGGAATCTGGAGGCTATAACAAAAGAATAAAGATAATTACCTACATTTGCTTAAGTACATTTGTTATATAAAACACCTAGAATATACTAGCTAGTTTAATTCATTCTCATAATAATCTGCCAGGGAGATATTATTACCTCCGTTAAAATTAACTTCTTTAGTCTGAGAGAAGTAATGTCCATCAATTCTTTAATCAAATTAGCCTTTCAGGGCTAATGTTGGATTTTGCCAAGGTACTTAATGAGATGTGAATTAAATTCCTGAATAGAATAGATTTGTTACTCTCTGGTAAGCTACAAAACAGAGAGTTCAAAACCTTTCAACCTAATGGGACATGTCTTCAGGTTTTGTTCCTCCTGTCTACACAGCTCTTGTACACAACCCAGTTCATAAAGAAATGGGTAGTTGTCAAAATAAAAAAGGATAA